GGTGTTTGCAAGATGCTGCCCACCACTCCCTTTGATACGCTAATGGCTATTCAATCACTTACCACCCATAGCTCTCCACGGGTATTGGACTATGTAAGTGACTTTTCCCTTGAAGTCAAAGAGAGTAATTGTGTGCCTACTGGTGGCAGGATTTGTCTTACTCAGCTGGACAACCTAGATGCAGCTGATGCAGTAAATCTTGCAGTCCTGAAGTTCTTGTGGTAGCTGACACCCCGCAAGCACTATGGGCAGTGCCATGGTGGGAATATTTCTTTGCCTGCCTGCTGGCTGCCTGCCATGTTCATCTGTAGCCGATGACCAAGTACTGTGGAGGGTCCCCTTGAGCTGGTACGTGTACAGAGAGGAAGGAGTCTGTTCTTTAAGTTAAAACGTTTAAATTGAATCAAGGTGATGGAGAATCAGATTTCACTCTCTCATTGCTTGTAATAGAAAAATCCATGCACATTGATAGTTCTCCCCAGTCAAGTATCCTTTTTTGTGTCCCCTTTTTGTATGTCTGCTGAGCAGATTGAGATGGGTACCAGTGGTTTGAAAACTGAAAACCTTCAATTTTCCTGTAAATTACAGGTCAAAGCTGTGTAGTGCATCACGCCCTTTACAGTAAATCGCATGTAAAACTTAAGTTATGCCCCATTTAAATGACAAAAGAATTCTTGGACTACGTGGTAGCTGTTTCCAGTAGTAGCTGAATAAAAGAAGAAAAACTAATAAATAATTAAGGCGGTAATATGTTTGACCACTTTTTTTTTTAGTATGACTTTTTTCTGTATTATTGTAACAGAAATGCTCCTTTCAAAGACAACTAAAGCACTAATGATAGCTAAGAAGGTCATTCCTAGGAGGTTAAACCGGTTTAATTAGAATTTATGAGAAGGTTACTATAAGAGTGCAGAAAGATGTTAAGGGGTTAACCTATAAGAGATTACATTGTAGTCAGTGTTCTGTTAAAGTTTGAATTAATTTTTCCCATGGGTTTTTCACATTCTAATTTTCAACTAAATGAGACATCTGTTTCAGAAAAGGAAAATTTGCTATGGTTGTCATAGCAACTATCATTCTGTAAGAAAATTATTCCAATGGTTACTTTAGAACAGAAAGATAGAAATTCAGTACATAAAGCAACATCCGATTGCTAGCACAAATTCTGATAATTCAGCCCTTTTTGTATGGTGGATTATTTGACCTGCAAAACTTGTTCATATGTTTTAACATAAGGTTAATTGTGCTGTAAACAAATTCACTTCCAGTATATTTTCCCCCTAGAGTCTTGCATGTAGACAATCATTATTCTTTTCATAATAGTAATACCGTTGAATTTCAGTAGTATGTGGAGAGGCTCAAACTGTTCACTTTAAGAAGACAAGACCTAAATCAAAGTACATTTGTGCACATGAGCGCTTCACTTCAGAAGTGAAATACGTTCATGATGTATGTCTTTAATTGCCAAATGCATTTTTCTTGGATTTTTTTTGAGAACAGCAGATTTTTCTCTTATAGAACATACATGACAGTATTTTCTTTGTGAAATGTAAAATATTATTGAAAAGTAATTTATTAAAAAAATTACACTTTTCCTGAGCAAACAGTAACTGAGGATCCAGAAATTTGATGCTTGATATGAAGACTTTAACTTCGCTTTCAGGTTCCATCATAATTGGAAATTTTAGACAAAGTTGTCTTTGCACAATATCCAGGTCACAGACTTGTTAGTGGGTATTAGAGAAGATTTTTTTTTCCCTGCTCAGAAACTTTGATGGCTGTTTTGCAATAAATTTTCAGAAGAAGGGACTTGGGGATTTATTAAATCCCTGTGTGCGTATAGGGATGGTTTTGCTTTGGGGGTGGGGACACTGAAGTGTATGATTTGTCTTTCTTCTCTAATGTAAAGCACACCAACGTCCTCCGCTGAATCCTTTCTTGGACTCCAGATTTTTTTTTGCCAGAAATATTCCAGACATTACTTTCGATCTTGGGATTGTCACAAAAGACAGCATAATGGCAAATCACACAAGTTGTAACATCTCCCCTTCACAAAAGAACAGCTCCAGCATGCATAACTTACCAGCCCTGCGCTCAGGCGGCTACGCGCTGCAGTCGCCACAAAGAGAGGGAGGGACGGGGGAAAGTGCTTCTTGTCTTAATAAGCAGATCATGCCTATTCATAAGGGGAAACGGGCTTTTTAAAAAGTGGCCATGTACAGGCTAGCCCTAGTAGAGGCAGGCAGAGGCTCTCACAGCTGCCGGTGCCGTTCGTGGTCATTTGGGTATCAGCAGGATTAAGCTGACTTCGGGTGAGACCTGTGACAGTCACGATTCTTTCTCCTTATAAATGCTTCATTGTATCCTTAAAAAAAATTATTGCACAGGTTTTCGACCTTTTCTTCTTGGGCAAATATTGATCTTTCCCCTTGGTTTCTTTCTTGGGGCGCGGCGTGGCCGTGGCCCGCTCTGCTGAGTCTGGCACACCTGCGGGGTGCAGGACGGCGCCGCGCCTCGCTTCCCACCAGGGACATGGGGACGGTCCTGTCCATGCCCAGACATGAGGACAGTCCTGTCCATGCCCAGACATGGGGACGGTCCTGTCCATGCCCAGACATGGGGACGGTCCTGTCCATGCCCAGCGGCACTGGGGCGAGCGACGGGTGGCAGCAGGGGCCTGTATTCACTGAATCTGTCAGTGGCTTTAAAAGCATGATTTACTCTGCCTACACTTTGTTTGCCTCCTATTTGCCCTTGCAAATATTTTGTTGGTGAGATTTTTGCTCCTGGAAAACTCGCTCTGGGCCTAAAGACAATTTGCCAAACAGTTGCATATTTTCATCTTGGTGAAGAAAGATACTTGGCATGTAAGGTGTGGAATGCAATCCCAAGGCAGGGACGGGTGGAGAGTTTAGAAAAAGCCTGACCTCTGTATATTTTTATAAAGCCTCCCACTTCTGTAATATCCAAGCACCTCGCAGACTTCAGTTCATTTATTTTCAGGGCATTCTT